TAGGAAGTCAATGTTGATTCAGACAGTATCTTTTCTAGCCAAAAATATGCAGCAAAAGGAAAGTAACATAAACAAGGCTAAATGTCAACAGTGTTTGCAGACTTACAGACACCATCCATTTGTTTGTACTGAAATGACTAGCGAACCATTTGGCAAATACAATGGTATTCACAGACCAGCCCTTTTATCCAGTAACACAAACTTCACTGGATCACTGGCATTCCCAGTTAATTAAAAAAAGGAAGCAAGCCATATGAGTTTGGTTTGATATTGCCATACAAATGGCACTGCGACATCCAGAAGTGCGTCTGCAGCCCTGGCATAAGGCTGAGATGCCGATCCCCTGGTGGCACCAGGAACACCAGGAGCAGGCCCTGTGCTGAGACTAATGAAACTTCTGCACAGTCACCATGCTAGGTAAAGAAAGGTCTGCAGCAAAACTTCAATAACATATCAATTTGCCTTGAAGGAGAATAATATTCTGGTTGTTCCTTCAATGGCAGATTGGGGCAAAATATCGGCTTGCTTAACTGTATTGCGGGTGCTTTAAATGGTTACGTGTACTGCAGTTTGCTGATTTTTTGTTACCTCATAGCTGTCCTACTGCTTGGATATTTGGGGCCTTTTGCTTCTGTTTAACATGGAGTTTATAATTTAAAAGAGCTGTGATAGGGTGAAGTCACCACAAACAATTAAAAATCTTTTTTTGTGTGTTTTATATGTTGGTGGTAGTTTTGAAGGGGTTACCATTATAATCTTTTTGGTTTTAACACCTGTGGCAAGAAGCAATTTACAATGAGTAAATTCACTATTTAAACATTGGGGTAGAGCACTACTATTATGTGTTAATAAAGCTGTAATAATCTGCCACAATCAATCTTTCTCTTGCCCCGCCCTCTTGTCTGTGCTAATGTTCCACATTTGGAAGGTATTTCAGAAAGTTACAATGCTGAACGTTTTAATAATTCTGTGCAATGCTGAACACTTTCTACTCAAAGGAAACAGAAAGCGCTCAGTGCTTTGCAGGAGAAGAACTTCAAAGCTGCTGCCATACATAAGAAGGGCCCTGCCCTATTTTCATACAGTGAAAGAAATGGTCATGGGGTGGAGCCTATGCAGGAGAAAACAGCACTAATTGCAGAGGAAAGCAAGCATGGATGGAAGCAAATGAGATTTATAGAGACAACATGGAACTAACACTTTTGGTCATCGTTACAAGTGGGTTCAATAGCACTAACCCATTAAGCAACCAGCTAATGACCAGGACCATCTCTGGCCAGTATTTCTGTAGTCCACCAGCTGTTCTTTGAAAGCTTAGGTACATCTCAAGCAGAAAATGCAAGTAGGGATATTTTACCATCTTAGCCGCAAAGCAGGAAGACTTAAAGAGAAGGAGAGATAGAAAAGAGTCTTGTCATATATAGATGCTGTGCAAATTGTGTAAATTAGGGACTCGGAACAGAAGGTAGAACAGTACTGTGATACAGATACATGTATAATGGAAGACAGGCAGAGAAAGAGAAGAGCAGAAATGGAAAACGTCTTCTAAAACTTAAATATAAAATAGGTCTATAAATTCCAAGTATTACTTTTCAAGTGAGCAAGTGTCTGAAAGGAGACTGCATAGATGCTTAAGGCAGCTACCAGGCCATGGAGCCAGCACCCTGGGCTTCCTCTCCGCTCTGGGCTGCTGGCTGCCAAGCAGCATGAGAGGTGTTCCCTGGCCTTAGACAAGTGTGTGGTAGCAAAAATGAACAAGATTGGCTCTTAGTCACTTAAGACTCTGGAACCAACTACTGTTAAGTTAGAAAAGGTCAGGAGTAACTAAAAATTCATCAATTATGCTTTCTCCTTTCCTTCTGTTCTTTCCTATTCTGCTAGATATGTAAAGCAGAATTATTACAAAAAGAAAAAAAAGTGATTTTTCTCAGCAGCATTTTGACATGGAAACTTCTGTATTATAAAGTAATTATAGTACTTTCTTTCCTAATTGTGCCTTTCATCCCTACAGCCTGAAGCATGATAGGAGCATAAATGAATTATGTGTACATCGTCAGTCTCTCTCATTCTACATATGGGGAAACTGAGGACTACTTCCCCTATGTGTGGTGACTTTCCAAAATACCAATATATATTGGTGGAACTGTCCTCTAGAAATCAAAGCCTCTTATACCAGGATTTGGGCTTAAAACCTGACCAAGTATCTTAAGGTAAAATCTGCCAGCTATAAATGATCAACATGGGTCACTGAAAATCCCAGTTTGTTTTAATGCAGCCAGAAGTTTATCAAACTTAGTGCGGCCAATCAAAGATGAAATCGCAGCTAACTGAAGCTGAGATGTCTCAATTTTATTTCAACTATATTCTGACTGTGAAAAGAGCACCATGCCTTGCTGTGCAAGGAGTGTATCAAGTGTATCAGTACTCTCTCTTGAGATATGAACACCCACCCATCACTGTTTGCAAAAAGAAAGGCAAATGCAGAGTGTCTCCCAAAATACAAAAGGACACAAGAATCTTGCCCTGGAATTGGGTGTTGGAGATGGATCGCAGGCTTCCTGATCTCTCTGAGTAGGAGAGACAAAAGGAACCAAGACTCAGGACATGGGCTCTATGCAAAGGGAAGGAAGGCTAACAGATTAGCAGAGCGCTCCCACTGGCTAATCTGCAAGTGCAGAAACATCAGGTGAGATTCCCCACACTAGTATGCACAGATGGAGTGTTATTTCATGGCACAAAATGTCACCGAGAAAATGAAAACTCCCCAAAAACACTACTTTCAAGAGGTTGGTGTCTAATTGAGTGAAATAAATGAGAACTGCTGACATGGGGATTGTTCATATTCATCTATTTTTGCTGTGAGGTGTCAAGAAAAATGAAATTATGTATTTAAATACTCAACCTTAATACTTATATTCCTCAAATACTCAATAGAATGTCAGTAAGAATTTTAAAAAGCTATTTTTGGAGGGGGGAGAAAGGAGGACTTGCACTGCATTTTCCATTTAAAAATGGCTTAAAAAGTAGAACAGACAAGCTTCTGTTGCTTTTTTTTTTTCCTTCATACTTCATACTTCATACTTCAAGTCAAATGCATTATCACTGGGCAGCGCTTGTAAAAGGGATATGGTCTTTAAAATCACATAAACTCAAGCCATCATAAAATGTTTGTTGAATTGATTGGAAGATGAAACAAAAAACTAATGCAAGTAACATGACCTCATTTCAATAATAATGTTGGAGGTTTTTTTCATTGTTTTAAAAATCTTATGTCTGAGAAGATGGGTAAAGATATTTTGTACACAGCAACTAATCTTAGTTTTCAAAGTGTTTTTGTTGTTGTTATTGTTGCTTCTTTAGATTCTTTGCTACATTTTTCTGTAACTGATTGATTGTAATCCTCAAATATAAAGAAAAAAATCCAAGTAGTAATTTACCAGCTGATAACTGAAATTAAGTATCAACTATTTTCATATATCAGAAATCTAACTACTGATTTTGAAGAATCTGGAAATATTTCCAACTCTCTTAACTGTTTCTTAGTGAACTGAGACACAGGAATTACAAGTTCAGCCATGCAAATACTTAGGCTTGTGATTCAGTTTAAGTAGTGACAATACTGTGAAAGTAAAATACTCCAAGAATATAAGCGAGATAAACTTTGTTGGGAGAATTTTTTCTTTTTTTCTCAGACCAACTAATGCACTAGAAAAAGCAGAAAGGGGCCTGAAGGAGCTGCTGTAAAAAGCTGTAAGCACATATACTTTCCTAATAAAGTTAAACAAAGCTCTGACTAACCTTAAGTTAACCAGGGTAACCACTCTTAAGTGTTTGCAGATTTAGGGTTTCATTTTAAATTGTCAGGCTTTATAACTATTGATCACATTATCTTTTATTTTCTTTTTTTTTTTCTTTTCCTTTCCTTGTTTTTTTTTTGTTTTTTTTTTGTTTTTTTTTTTTTTTCTTAAACTTGAATACATTATTCAGCTCTGACAATGAGTTTTTTGTGATTAGTTTGAAGGTTAAGTGAGATGAGCATTATTGAAGTTTTTCTGTCCTTTGCTGACTCTGCTTTTTAAAGTGATACTGTTTTTCAAAGGATTTACATTCTAAAATCTCTTTCAAGCAAAAACTTTTCTTACAAAATTGGAGATAAATTGAAAAATCCTCAATCTCACTTGTTCCAAATAGGTTTAACTTTTTTTTTTTTTTTTTTTTTGTCAAATGTGATGTGTGATATGAGGAAGTAAATCTGCAATTTTCTAAATCAGATACTAGTAAAGGTAAAACAGGGGGTTTGTTTGGGTTGTTGTTTTAATTACGTGAAGGCATACTCTTAATTAGGCAAATCACAACTTGTACAACCTCTAGTTAGGATAGTGAAAATGGTCAAAGGCAATTACTATATGTGTGCCATTGAAACAAATTAGAAAAATAAAATTAAAAAAAAGGTGTGGGGGAGGAAAAGAACACCTCTTCACTACAGGTAGATGCATTCCATCTACTTGGCCTATGATTTAATGAATATCATGGAAACGGAATGCACCTCAAATAAAAGAACAGAATGAGAGAGAGAGAGAGAGAGAGAGAGAGAGAGAGAGCAAAGCATCCAGTGTTTTTCTTGGGTTCTTACTAATATCAAAATACTGAAAAGTTTGCAAGTTACCATGTGAATTTTTAAAAACATTCTCCTCCTTTGAGTATGCTAAAGCAGTAAATATCCCCTTCAGATGCCACTAGCACAGATAGTCTATATTGCTGCTACACTAGATTAAAAGCAAGTTCTTTCTAAAACTCTGTATAACTCTGTATAAGTATATGCATGCAGCACTGTTGATTTCAACGGAGTAGACCACATAGAAGACTAGAATTTGGCCCACAGGGTTTAACATTTAAAAAAATGTATTACTAACAAACATGACTAAGTATATTTAAAGAGCAGCTTCATGATTCTGCACAAGTGTTTTCTGAAATGGTCTAAAAGAAGGTCTAAAACTTACCACACAAGTCAGGTCTCTTGATACATCCACTAGTTGCTGTGCTACTTGCAAGTCCATTAAAGGCTGCTAAGCCATCAGAGCTGTAAGCTCTTAGGACTGACAACATGTTCATCTGCTTCTCCAGGACCTGTGGACCCTGAACTTGTTCAGCTTTCATCACTCCTTGTGCAGTTTCATGGGAGGATAGAAGATTCTGACTGTGCCACTGCTTTTCTGGTGCTTGTGGCAGTGGTGATACGAGCCCTTGTGCTGGTTGTGAGGTGACCATACTTTGTATATTGTCGCCTCCTTCGCTGCTTTCCTTGTTAAGGGCAGACAACTGCTTATTCATAATATCTGGTTCTGTTTCAATGTCCTCATCTTCAATGTTTTCTTCCTTGGAAGACTCCATATCCTCAGATGAAGCTATGTCAGAAAGGTCATCAGTAGCACTTTTATTTACAGAGTCAGAGAGAAGAATATTTGGGTCATCTTCGGGTTGTGGTTTTATTTCAGATTCATTACTGGTGCAAGAATTTTGTGTTCCCATGCCAATAACACCAGGATAAACACCAAACTGCTTATAGAAGTCTGTTGTAAAATTACAAAAAGTGGATTCCATGTGGCTGGGCCAGGCAGTACTCTTTTGCTCTCCCAGGGTCTCTTTATTTTGTCCTTGGGTCATTTTCTCAGAAGCTGAGTCCAGCTGGCTAAGTATGTTTGAAACTACTGCCTCTTTGTTGGACTGTACAGAAGAGGGGAGCAAGCTCACTTTATTAACTGAGGCTGAAGCTTCTCTAGATTGGTCTTTGTTGTTCCCTATGATGTTGTCTTTACGTTTAGCCTTGCCCAAGTGATTGGCCTGGAGGTGCAGAGCCATTAGTTCCATAGATGAAGTTGTAAAGGAGCAAAATAAGCAGCCATGCCAAGCAATATTGTCTTGCACGGTAACAGATGAACCTGGGAGGGAGGCTGCATCTGGCCTTACGGATAAGTCAAGAGGTTCATATTGTGACTTTTCTGTCTTTCGCTGTGAGGACTTGCTACTGATCTTTTCCTCACCCCCATCTGAACCCAGAGCTTTTGCTGAAAGTGGATCTGACAGAGCTTTATCCTTCATTTCTTTTTCTTTCTTCAAAGAACTTAAGACAAAGTTGTCCATGAAAGCTTGCAAAGACCCTTGAAAGTTCACACCATTCCCAACCATGTTCTGGTAAGCACGGCCAAGTTCAGAGAAGTGTGTTCCTTTGGAAGATATGTCTGAACCCTTCATATTGTCTGAAGATACCTCAGATGACATACCAGCTGCTTGTCCTTGCTGATCTCCAGAAGACAGCATTCCTGACGTCCACTGCTGTGAGACCATGCCACTTCGGAAGTCGATACCAGGAAGCCCCTTGAAGGTTCCTCTCAGTATATCTGGTCTAATAAACATGGAACTTTTACTTGATGTCTCTTCTTTGTGTTCTTGATTTGCAGCCTGCCCAGAGAGTGGTCCTGCTCCATTCTGTCGCTCCCGATGGTGCCTTTCCAAATGGTACTTGAGGGATGCAGACTGAGTACCAGCATAATCACAATGTGGACACTTGTAAGGCTTCTCACCTATGTTTATGCATAAAAAGACAAATACAAGAGAAGAGAGTTAACTGCACTTTGGTGTATGGATGAGTGAAGAAAAAAAACAACATTAGCTGCATGAAAACAGGAAGATCTTACAGCTAATAATTCATTTTTTAAAAAGAAACGCCTTTAATTGAAGACTAATTCATAAGCTGAATATTTCTAAAATGGGTTTCCAGAATGTGGGGCTATTCAGGAATGACATGGTATCTACACACAATTAGCCATCTTTTTCTTAATCTAACATGTAGAAAACTGTAGTAGAATTAAAAGCTATGATTATGAAAATGAAGCATAACAATTTCAACCACAGTAATCATTAAAAGTACAAGTTTAAAAAAAAGAGAGACAAAGAATGTAACAAATGGATGGTTGCAATATTTTGTGTATACAATTGCTCTAAAATTTGTTTAAATTATACACATGGAAACCATTTTTAAACCTAAAAATTTTATGGCACTGTTATGCAAGACTGAAATGAATGATTTAAGTCTTGCTCTGCAGTAAATCATGGATATAATTAGCAAATGGCATACTGCACAAGTAATTTATCATTATTTGGAGGGCACCATTCCAGAAGGATTCAAAGATCTGCAGACCTACTGCATTGTTTCTAAATAAAGAACTATAAACACAGATTCTATAAAATATTAATATCATTATACTACATTATGATTGCAACATGTAAGAACATATAGTTAAAATAAAAAGTAGTCAATAAAATTAAAAATCAAGTAATAAAAAAGTACAAAATATACTTAGTTTCTTTATTTTAAATTAGCATTATCTACTGGCTTTTGCAGTCTTTTAAATTTGTGCTAATGGCAATTCTAATGCTCAAATAGTAAAATTTACCTGTCATAAGTGCTTTCCTAGGATTAGCTCGAATAGAGTTTTAAAACATATAAGTTGATGTTCGTGAATTAAGTATGTATTTTAGTCCTGTACAAACTTTTATTGTTTGTCCTATACTTTAAAAGAGGCAGCAGATATTACGTGCATAATAAATATTCACACATAAATCATATATCCAAAAAGAATGTATGTCTAAGCAAACATACATCTAAATTTTTGCACAACACCTGTTAGGAATACAGAGCTCATTTTAAAGGAAGTATAGAAATACTCACAAAAAGAGACAGAAATGTGAAAAACCTGCAAACTGTCAATACTGACAATTAGTGCTATCAGGGAGCTCAACAACAAGAAGAAACTGTTTTCTCTACATAGCTTTTTCTCCTAAGTGCACAAAAGATAATGGCCAACCTCTTCCAAATGCTGTAATGGAAAAATTTGTTTCAAAAACTTCTTCCATAGGCAAACAAGAAAAACAAACAAAAACACACTGTATAATATTATGTACTTTACCAAACCATCTGGAAAGTCACCCCTTTTCAAATATCCTCAAAATCTGATTAAAACAAAATTGAAAGGCTTTCAAACTTTCTGATTTGTTTAAGCTATAGGCTCAGCTGAAAGTCGGCAAAGACTTGGGAAGCTGCTTCTCTTGCTGATCACAGAAACTTACTAATGAGATGCAACACGAGTCCACTCGAACTGACCAGGAAGGCTTACTGACTGGATATGTGGAACAGTAGGTGGATACATGCTGTAACTCAGACAGGGCTAAAGTAAATTATAAGGAGTGAAAATCCTAAATCCATGTGTAATCCTAAAGCTAAATGGTGAGATGTGAGAGCTTTACATCAACCATGTTAATTGACTTTTTTCGAGAAGGAAAGCACAGCATCTCAAACAATAGGTGTTCAGCAGTGGAAGAGGTAGGAATTAACAATGTTCATGCTTTAGGCCTGGGTCCACATAGTTTAAGGGAAGAAAGCAGGTTTAAACATTTCAGTGCAACTTCTGAGTCTTTCACAATCACCTGATTAAGTTCTGGTTCTCTACCACCAAGAAGTACATCTGCATTCAGTGGTAGTCATGCACAGGCGAACAGTTCCTATGGAATGCATCTTGTCTGCTTGGGCTTCTCTGTCCTCAGGTGGAAGTCTGCACACATGTGCATGTGTGTACATACGCACACCCACCCCGGTCCCATCACAGGCATTTCAGGGTAGGGATAAGGGGACAGAAGACCTTGGCTGTCGATTTGTTTGCATTTCTGCAGGGTTGTTTGGGAGTGTGTAAACCCTGACAGCTGTGCTGTCAGTCAGAACGTGGACAAATATTAACGCTGTTTCTACAACATGCACATGCTGCGGTATTTTTGAGCTGTTTTCCATGATTTTTAAGTTTGTCCCCCAGTTACTGTCAATTACACAACTGTCACTAAAAGCCTCTGACACAACAGAGATACTTCAAGTATTGTCTAAGTAATCAGACTGGTGAAAAACAGCAGACTTTATAAGGTTAAATGCTCTCACTTTTGAGTTTTCACTACTCTTGAAAAGTCCTTCCACAACATCCCCTATGCCTTTACAAAAATCTTTAACACAACTGTATTGATCACTTCCTTTTATTGTAATGATAGTTCAGTGCGTGTTTGCATGGCACATTAAGTGACACCATCAATAAGTGTCCCAGTATTGCAGGCAGTATGTCAACTGCAGGATAACAAACTTCGGCAGGGTGAAAGAGAATTTTGTAATATAAGCTGCTCTAATGTTGCTAAAATCATGCAGGAGGTGTTCAAAGGAATAAGTATTTAAAAACAGGTATAAGTGAGTAAAAATATGCTAACTGGTAATATTTTGCACTAGTGAAAAGTACCTTTGGTCTAAAGTACTGGGTACAGCAACACACTCTTATTTTGAATTGCAGAGCCCTGAAGTCATTGCATTTTCCTTTTGAAGGCCTCTCCTCTGAGTGAGCTTCCTTTTAGCAGAAGAGATCTGGACACAGCTTGCCACAAACACCATACGCACTGGACTGAAATAAGACACTGACTGAGATGGTATGATAAAAAGTTCAAATCTCTCCTCACCTTGGTACACTGCCTCTGTGGTGCTCCTACCTCTTGCATGGCTAGAAACGAGATCTAACATGGAAGGTCTGCAATTGGACTCGACATGTAGCAACACACTGTGCCACCTTTACACTACAGCACTGGCCAAATAACATCATTCAAAGGGAGTATTCAAACATTTTTTTTTTTCTTTTTTCTTTTTACCTCTCTCTCTTTTGGATCAAAATGTTGACAGTGATTAGTGTACTTCAAAGCAATCTTAACTGTTGCTATTTCAAGTGCAGGCACTGGGAGAAGGGAAAGGGAGTAGGACTGAGCAAATCATCTTTGAATCTTTGAAATTTACTGTTTCACTATTTCCTAAATTCAATAATTGGCAATAATACTCAGATGCTATTTCATTCATTCAGATTAACAACCAGTAAGGCCTGTGTAAGTCTGTACAAATGACAAAACAGAGCTATAAGCTTCTATGGGAAAAAAGCTCAACCTAACTTGAAGCAAACAAACCAAAACTCCAATGCAGTTTCAGTGGAAAACCCAAAGGACCCCTGATTTCCAGAACACTAGCAACAATTGCAATTGTGTATTGTCAAAGAATATTAAAGGAGTAAGAGAGCAAGGGCACACTTCCTGCCAGAAGATAACGATAACCTGTTTTTATCTCACACTTGGAAGAAAGGTTTCAGAGAACTCATCCTAGTGTAATGATTACCCAGGTTATATTGCCAAGAGCAGCATCTGGATGAGTTATTTAACACTTAATATCAGTTCACATAAATTAAGGTTGCCATGTAGGAGTGAGGGAACATGATTTTTTCAAAATAATTTTCTGCATTTCATATCTTAGAGTCATTTTTCATTGTTCACAAAGACAATGACTATCCCAATCTTGCTAATTCTCCGGTCCTGTTTTCACCCCTGCAAACCCTTTCAGAGTGGAGTAGAAAGAGTGAATATCCCAATATGTACAATAAAAAAGCATCTTGTAGAGAGCAATTTATCTAGGCAACATAATCACAGTTCTGATCTATCTACCAATCTGATTTTACAAGACACAAGACATCTCACAAAAACTATTTTATATCAGGATACAATAAAATAATAAAATTCAATGTTGCTTGTAAAATCTGAACAAAAACTTGGTATGTAACTGGAAACAGACATATTGCCCAGTAGAAACAGGTCTATTTGTATAGTAGGTTGCATAAACAGTGAGGATGTATAACCTATTCAAACTACTACTAGGTCTTCTCAAAATGCAATCTGATCATACTAGTCATAGGAATTATCTATGCTGGGGGACCACAACCAGATTACAAATAAATTTACACAGTTTAAGGCCAGAAGGGACAATTAGGATTGTCTAGTCTGATCTGCTGTTCAAGACAGGCCAAAGATGCTCACATGGTAAGTCCTGCATCAAAGTCAGAACTACAATTTGACACAAAACATACTTGTCTTAGTTTAAATATATTCTGTTTCAACCACAGCAATGAAGAAGAATCCAACATGTCCTTATGTAAACTATTTGACATGTTAATTATTTTCACTATTCAAAATGTGTGCCTCATTTCTAGTTTGAATTTGTCCTAAGTCTGTTTCCTGTACTGAACCTCACTACATTTTTTCCATACTACACTAACCAGATTTTTTAATCAACAATCCATTTGCAGAGGAAGGGACTTGCACTCACCTCTCCACCTTTTCTTGCTCTGGAGTAGAACACCCTTCCCAATTTTTTCTATGTCCTTTAAAATTATGGGTTCCCGCTGAAGTCTTAATGAAATTTCAACTTGATATTATTCTCATAGAAAGACTGTTCATATCCATAGCTATAGCAATCATCTAACAGCTTCCTTTCTGTTGCTTTTCTGCCATAATACTAGGCCCAGTTCATCAACACCTCTAGTATTTGTTCCTTTAGAGTTTGCTGATTTTAAATTCATATTGTTGAAAAGAGCCCACTTGACTATGCAACTAATCAGTCCCTCCCCATGATTTTTAGCATTTTACGATTTTTGTGCCATTGGTAAATTTTATCAACAGTAATTTG